TTGGTTTGTGAACGTTGAAACATTCCTGCATATCTTGGATAAATCCCACTTGGTCTAGGTGGATGATCTTTCTGATGTGTTGTTGAATTCTACTGGCCAGAATTTTATTGAGGATTTTTGCATCTATTTTTATCAGGGAAATTGGTCTGTAATTCTCTTTTCTGCTGCGTCTTTTTCAGGTTTAGGAATTAAGGTGATGCTGGCTTCATAGAAAGAACTGGGGAGGATTCCCTCTCTTTCAATGGTTTTGAATAGTTTGAGATGAACTGGAGTTAGTTCTTTAAATGTCTGGTAGAATTCAGCACTGAATCAAATTTTCCTGGGTTTTTCTTTGTTGGGACTCCTTTATTACTGATTGCTGGACGCTCGCCAGCGAGAGTCCAGCGTAGTAAAGACATGATCGCTGCTTACTCGGTTCTCATGGAACTTTATTCATCCAGATGCAAGGCGAAAGAAAAGAAGCCAAGCCCTCCCCCTGCACAATACTATCCCCATTATATACCCAAGGTTCCTCTAGAAGGACGCTCCCAGCCAATGGCAAGTCTGTTCACATGCATCCATGCAGGCACAGTCCAATCAAGTTGAAGGGCACATAGTGCCTCAGGTCAAAAGTTCATCTTGCTCCATCAGAGTTATTTGTGTGTCTTCAGGTCATCCTGTGGTTATCACTTCCTTGACTTCTTTTGCTCAGCAGCCAGCGCTTCCTTAACTTGTTTTGCACAAATTGTTACAACAGGCCACACAAACAGCAAAGTGAGGAAGTTCCCACAGGTGGCCAGCCTGCGGTTCCCCACAACTGATTGAATTTCTAATTCGGTTATGGGTCTGTTTAGGTTTTCTATTTCTTCATGGTTCAATTTCAGTAGGTTGTATGTGTCCAGGAATCTATCCTTTTTGATAGATTTCCCAGTTTGCTGGCATACAACTCTTTGTAGTAATTTCTGATGACTCTTTATTTCTGTGGTGTCTGTTGTTACATTCCCTTTTTCATCTCTGATTTTATTGATTTGGGTCTTCTCTGTCCTTTTTTTGTTAGTTGGGCTAATGGTGCATCAATTTTGTTTATTTTTTCAAAAACCAGCTCTTTGTTTTGCCGATCTTTTGTAATATTTTTTGGACTCAATTTTGTTGATTTCTTCTCTAACTTTAATTATTTATCTTCTCCTACTAGTTTTGGGTTTGGTTTGCTATATTTTTTCTAGATGCTTGAGATGCATTGATAGCTCGTTTATTTGGTGCTATTCCAATTTCTTGTGGTAGGCATCTATTGCTATAAAATTTCTTAACATTGTATTTGCTGTATCCCATAAGTTTTGATATGTTGTATTGCTATCTTCATTTGCTTCCAGAAAGCTTTTGATTTCTCTTTAGATTTCTTCTATGACTCACTGTTCATTCAGGAGCATGTTGTTTAGTCTCCATGAGTTTGCATATGCTGTAGGGATTCCTGAGTTGCTAACTTCCAGCTTCATTGCATTGTGGTCTGAGAAGATGCATGGTATGATTTGGATTCTTTTGAATTTGCTGAGACTTGCTTTATGGCCTAGTATGTGGTCAATCCTAGAGAAAGTTCCATGCACTGCTGAGAAAAAGTGTATTCTTCTAGTGTAGCATGAAAAGTTATGCAGATATCTGTTAGATCCATTTGGACTATAGTGTCGATTAAATCTACTGTTTCCTTGTTGATTGTCTGTCTGGTTGATCTGTCTATTTCTGAGAGTGGAGTATTGAAGTTCCCCAATACTATTATATTGGAGTCTAAGTCTTCCTTTAAGTCCCATAACATATCTTTTAAATAGCCTGTTGCCCTGTAATTTGGTGCATATATGTTTATAATAGTTACATCTTCCTGTTGAATTGATCTTTTAATCATTATATAGTGGCCCTCTTTGTCTCTCTTAACAGTTTTTGTGTTAAAGTTTATTTTTTCTGATATTAAGATGGCTACACCTGCTCTTTTTTCATTTCTGTTGGCATGGAATATCTTTTTCCAGCCTTTCAGTTTCAGTCTGCAAACACCTTTGTTGGATAGATGTGTTTCTTGTAAGCAGCAAATAGATGGATTTTGTTTTTTATCCCAGTGATGCATTCTGTGTTTTTTTTTTTTTTGACAGGCAGATTGGACAGCGAGAGACAGAGAGACAGAGTGAAAGGTCTTCCTTTTTCCATTGGTTCACACCCCATTGACCACTCTGGCCATGCACTGCAGCCGGCATACTGCACTGATCTGAAGCCAGGAGCCAGGTGCTTCCTCCTTGTCTTCTGTGCGGGTGCAGGGCCCAACGACCTGGGCCATCCTCCATTGCACTCCTGGGCCACATCAGAGAGCTGGACTGGAAGAGAAGCAACCGGGACAGAATCTGGCACCCTGACTGGGACTAGAACCCGGTGTGCAGGCGCCACTGGCAGAAGATTAGCCTAGTGAGCTGTGGTACCGGCCAGTCTGTGTTTTTAACTGGAGAGTTGAGGCCATTTACATTCAATGTGACTATTGATAAGTAGTGACTTTGCCCTGCCATTTTCCCAAAGATATTTCTTTTATTTTTTTTATTTAATAATGTGAATTTACAAAGTGCAACTTTTGCATTGTTGTGGCTTCCCCCACCAACCTCCCTCCCTCCCACAGCCCTCCCATCTCCCACTCCCTCTCCAATCCCATCCCATCCCACTCTTCATCAAGTTACATTTTCAATTATCTTTATATACAGAAGATCAACTTTGTATATACTAAGCTAAGGTTTCAACAGACTGCTCCCACACAACCGCACAAGTCATAGAGTGCTGTTCGACTAGTAGTGTTATTAACTCTCATAGTAAAACACATTAAGGACAGAGATCCTACATGGGGAGCATGTGCCCAGTGACTCCTGTTATTGATTTAACAATTGACACTCTTATTTATGACGTCAGTAATCACCAGAGGCTCTTGCCATGAGCTCTCGAGGCTATGGAGGCCCCTTGAGTTCATCATCTTTGAACCTGTTTAGTCAAGGCCATATCACAGTGGAGGTTCCTTCCTCCCTTCAGAGAAATGTGCCTCCTTCCCAAAGATATTTCTAATATATGCTTTCAACTTCCTGTGATCTTTTACTGAGAGATTTTCTTCCTTTCCATTTTTTTCGTATTGATGGCCGTGTTTCTGTGTTTTTGTGTTTATCACATCTGTAAGCATCATTTGCAGGGCTGGACAGGTGGTGACAAATTCTTTCAATTTCTGTTTGCTATGAAAGGTCCTTATTTCACCTTCATTCACAAATGAGAGCTTTGCAGGATATAGAATTGTGGGATGGCAGTTTTTTTTCCTTTTAGTTCTTGGGCTATTTCTCATCATTCCCTCTTAGCCTGTTGGGTTTCTGATGAGAGGTCTGATGTAAGCCTAATTGGAGATCCTCTGAGTAATCTTATGTTTCTCTCTTGCACATTTTAGAATCTTTTCTTTATGTTTCATTGTGGTGAGTTTGATTACAACGTGTCGTGGTGAGAATCTCTTCTGGTCACGTTTACTGGGGGTTCTGTGTGCTTCCTGTATTTGGATGTCTCTTTCTTTTCCAAACTTGGGAGGTTTTCTGCTAGTATCTCACTGAAAAGGCCTTCTAATCCTTTCTCTCTCTCCATGGCTTTAGTATTGTATTTAGTAATCAGCAACCTTTTACTCTGACTTCATTTAATTTTACTGAAAGCTTCTTATTTTCCTCATTTCTCTAGATTGTGCAAAAAAATAGGTTTATCTTGGACTGACCCTGACAGGACATTTATCTAAAAGCTCTGAGAAATAAGTATCTATGTATCTATCAGGAAGGAAATTAATTAAAATCTATGAAAGCACATTAATTTTCTGTATTGAGACACCCCAAATCTCCCTATACAGCAATAGTTCTAAAACTTCAGCCTGAGTAAAATCATGTTGCTAAGTTAATCTTGAGACTGCTGTATAGTAATATTGGGATAGGTCCTAGAATTTGCTTTCAAATAAATTGCTGAGTGATGATATTTTTGGTTTAGGGACTATACTTTCCTCCAAGATAAAGCTCAATCTTATTGTCAGGCCAGCTAAGGTAAGAACTAAGATACTGTAACAGAGATATTGCAGAATAGAGTGGCTTTTCTATTGAAATCATCTGGTGGTACTGCTTTGTAAAGGGATTGTTCTACTAAGATATTGCTGTGTACTTCCATTGCACTGCTGCATTCTCTCCTAGGATTTTGTTCTTGTTTGTGTGGTCATAATTACCTAATATCCTAATTTACATTCCAGCCAAGAGGTAGAGGCATGAAGAAGGTGAGAGCAAGTACCTTCATATTTAAGAAGAAAACCCAGAATAGATATATATGTATATATATATATATATATATATATATGTATAGATAATTGACATTCTGTTGGTGGAGGTCAGGCTAGGAAATGTAACTAGTAGCACAATGGCCATAAGTCCAGTTAATACTTGAGGCAGAGAATGGAATGTGTATTGGTAGGTCGTATTCTTCACCATAGAGGCTGTGATAACAATATTATGTGAATGAAAGGGAATGACATTTATCTTAAAAGTAAAAAGCATGGGAATAAAAAAGTCAATGTTGAAAGTAATTCCACAAGAAAATAGCAACTATTTATTTAAGAATTTTTATTTATAACTTTTATTAGATTTACTAGATTTCATAATTCTATGAGGGTACTTCAGAAAGTTCATTGAACATTAGCATTATCTTTTCATCTCATTTTCCATGAATATTTGAAACCATCTGCACATGGCTTCTGCTGTGGTTTCTGATTAGTCTTCAAGGTTTCAAATTCATGAACTGTGTTTTATTTATGCATTTGTATCTGTTCTTACTGTTTTCTCTATTATTTATAAATAAAGTTAGAAACTGCACCTAGTCACATTCTGAATGGTGAATAAGTAAGTGGTTGTTGAATAAGTGAATTGATTCAGGTTCTGGTGATGAAGGCCAATTTTTTTTAACTCTCTACAGTTTAATTTATTTTTCCGTATAATATGACTTTAACAGTTTGCAATCCCCAATTGTCTCTTTACTGCACTTTTAACATCTTTGTTTCTTAAAGTGTAGATCAGAGGGTTTAAGCTGGGAGTGACAATTGTGTAAAAAAGAGCAAGGAATTTCCCTTCATTTTGATATGTGATATGCTGTGGCTTCAGGTACATATAAATAGCTGGTCCATAAAAGAGAGTTACGACTGTGAGGTGGGAACCACATGTATTGAGGATCTTTTGCCACCTTGAGGTTGACCTGATTCTTATTACAACGTGAGTGATGACTCCATAGGAGATGAGAATTAGTGATAGAGGTACTAGAAGAAGTACTGTGCCAAAAACAAAGACAACAATCTCAATTACTTTTGAATAAACACAAGCCATCTTGATCAAGGCTGGCATCTCACAGAGAAAATTATCCACTTTCCTGTGCCCACATCTTGGCAACTTCAAAGTCAGGGAACAAACAATTAAGGCACTGCCAAGACCACCCATCCAGGCAGTCAGCACCATCCTGTGGCATAGCTGAGTGTGCATGATTACTGTGTAGTGAAGAGGTTGACAGACAGCAGCATAGCGGTCATAGGCCATCACAGTCAAGAGAAGACATTCTGTGGCTGCAAAGACAAGGGCAAAGAAGAACTGGAGCACACACCCTCCATATGTAATAGATTTCTTTGGACCCCATAGATTTACCAGCATCTGGGGGATAATGCTAGTTGTATAACAGAGGTCCACAAAAGACAGATTGGATAAGAAGAAATACATGGGAGTATGGAGCTGGGCATCCAGATAAGACACAAGGATGATGGTTGTGTTTCCTACCAAAGTCACGACATAGAAGATGAAGACAACTGCAGAGATGATGCGTTCTAACTGTGGTTGGTCAGAAAACCCCAGAAGGATGAAATCTGTCCTGGAACTTCCATTGCTTGTTTCCATTGCTTCTTTTGAAGGCTGAGGAATAAAACCCTGTTAACCAGTGTAAGTGTCAGACTTAGGTAGAAATGAAAATTTCTCAAGTGCGTCATGAGTATCCAGAACTGACTTGTCTGCCTGCTTTCCACATTTGGAAGATATCTCGAATTTTCCTCTGTCAGTTCTCATAACCTTTTCATGTTTAGTTTTACCCAAGTGAGTCTATTGATAGCATGCTAAACACAATAATACTGAATTGTGATAATTGAAAATGGTGAAATGTTACATCAGCACACATGGTTCTACATATTTTCATTAAATAATAAAGGCATAAATTCAATGATCACATTTTTAAAATGGGTTGATACTGTGAGGGGTTATTATTTCTTGAAATTATGACATAAATGTCATCTGATTATGATAAGACTTTCCTCTATCAAAGGAGCTGAAATTGACAAAAAAAAGGTAATGAAATATTTTCTTGGCATAAGCTCAAGACTTTGGTAGCAGAATCATTCATCTTCACTTTCAAATATTCACATCCCAAGCATTGTAATCATAATCACAATCACCACCACCATGTTTCTCCTACTGTTTTTTTAATCACCTCAACACTGCATGCACTGTTCCTGTTACATCTACTTAACCACTCCTACTTCACTGCCTTTTTTGTGAGTTTGTTTTCTTATTATTTCTTTTCTGTACATGCATTTGCTTACATGTACAGATGCTATATATTTTTAAAGTACCTTTAATAACTGATATTACATCATCTAAGTGGTCCCATGGAGTTGATGCAGTGTTAAAAACTGAACTACTGTCACAGCCATTTGGCCACCACATACATGTAGTGACATTCTGTGTCAGCTTCTACTCACCTGGCCATTCAGCAGAATTAGCCAGGCAGCTAATTCAAACAACAAAGCATTCCTTAGATAACCAGTGAGCTGATTTTCCCCATGGAATGTACCAGTTACATGAACGGATCTTCAGATTGCTTTGAAACCCTTTATGGAAAAACACCACCTCATTTCAACTCTAAAGAATACAGAAAAGGGATAAAAACTTCTTTTAACAACCTCACTCTTTCTGATTATTGTATCATATTAAACAGATGGACTGTTTAATGACTGAATTATGTTTTTTACCAGATAATTCATGATCATGTACTTCAGACCCAGGGTACCTTACACTTACAGTGTCTCTGAGCCACGCAATGAAAGCTTTGTTTGTTGAAATTATCTGATGAAATGATATGAAGATAAATTATCTTGAGTATATAATTTTTATAAGCACTTCAGCTAGAATATGAGTATTATAATCACAAATAAGGAGCTGTGATATTGAAATAGTGAGAGGTGTAGTTTTTCTCAGTACAAAAATGTAAACTTAATTATTGAGTGTCTAGTTTTTACATAGTAGGATGTCAGCTAAGCAAAGTACAGTTCCTGAGCACATTGTCAACTGCTCCAAAATTCCTGGCATCCAATTCAGGCTCTACCACTTAAAAGCTATGTTTCTTTGGGAAAATATTTAACCCAGATTTGTATTCCAGGTACTTTAAATGCAAAGTAAATGTAACAGTATTGCCTTCCTCAAGGGAGTTTATGCGTATTAATACTGGTGAAAGTACTTGAAACAGTGCTTGGTCTTATTTAGCTCAAAAAGTAACAAGCTATATCCACCTACTGGGACATCATTACTATTCTGTCTATATATTCTCTCCTCCTCCTCCTCCTCCTTTTTCACATAGAGATTTTACCATGAAGTTCCAGAAGTAAACTGGAAAGTTGTAAATTTTTTGCATAACTTTAAAATGCACAAACAGAATTCCACACACAAAAAAAATGTACACAAACATACGTTTTGAGGTAGTGAGTCTCAGGGCCAGGGGAGGGCTTGAGAACCTGAAATACTTGGTATACAAATGCACTGCGTTCTTTGCTTCATGTTGGGATGGTGTTAGAATTAAAAGGCCATGAATATGAAAGCTAAAATAGGCTTGAGTAGTCTGCATAGATGATTCCAGAGAATAGTCATGCAAAGCCTGTTTACATAAGGTTAGTGACAGAGAACTCAGTTTCACATGAAGCAGATTCTTTCCTTATTGACTCTCACTTGCTTACATTTGGTGCAGTGGTGCCGCTTTGCTCTCTCCAGGCATTTGCTCTTTTCCTTCATTATGAATATAACAAAACTACATCAGCTTAGTATGGCTTTGTTAAAACAAACCCTTGGGTGCTGGTGCTGTGGTGCAGTAGGCTAAGCCATCGGCTGTGGCACCGCATTCCAAATGGGCAGAGGTTCATGTTCCTGCTGCTCCTCTTCTGATCAGCTCTCTGTGATAGCCTGGGAAAGCAGTAGAAGATGGCCCAAGTGCTTGGGCTCCTGCACCCATGTGGGAGACCTGGAAGAGGCCTCTGGCTCCTGAATTCTACTATCTCAGGTCTGGCTTTTGTGGTCATTTGGAGAGTGAACCACCAGATGGAAAACCTTTCTATCTTTCTGTCTCTGTCTGCAACTCTGCCTTAAATTAATGAATAAAATCTTTAAAACAAACCCTTCAGTTTTAGTTTGATAGATATAATAACAAATAGTAAATTTTAATAAATTTATGTGATTTTTTTTATTACTATCATGCTAATCAAGAAATAGAACATTGCCAGCTGCTCCAGGTGCTTTTCTTTGTATCTCTGGTCACTCATTGTGAAGATATACTAGAGCTTATTTCTTCTATCTAAATATATTTTGGTACCTGTTTTCCAATATTCCCTGCCTCTCCTCCCCTACTCTTCCCATTTTCTACTAATCACAATTATATAATCAGATTCATTTTTTGAAGCATCTGTATATGAGAACATGTGGTGACAAACACTCTGAATAAATGTGGTATAAGAGGAACATACGCTAACATGATAAAGGCTATATATGCAAACTCACAGCCAACTTCATATAGGATGGGGGAAAAGCTTAAAATCATTACCTCTAAGATCTAGAATAACACAAACATGTCCCTTCTTACCAAATTGGGAATCTTAGCCAAGGTAGTTAGGGAGAAGAAAAAATAAATGTTTTATTAATAGGATGGTAGAAAGTCAAATTATTCATGTTTGTAGCTAATATGTTTCTGTAAATACAAAATCCTAAAGACTCCATCCAAGACTGTTAAAATTGACACATGAATTGTTGCAGGATACAAAATTAACATAAAGGCTAGTAATATTTTTATATACTAATAATGATGTTACTGAGAAGAAATCATGAAAGCAATCAAACTAAGAATAACTGTCAAACAAACAAAAAAGACCTAGAAACAACTCTAGCCAAGAAGTAAAAGATTTCTATAATGAAATTTATACTACACTGATAAAAAAAATTGAAGAAGACATTCAAAAGTAGAAAGACCTCTCATGTTCACGAATTGGAAGACTTAGAATTAATAGTGTTAAAATTTTCATAATATTGCAAATAATTTACAGATTTAACGTAATTGCCATCCAAATACCAATGGCATTCTTCACAGAACTGGAAAAAAATCCTAAAATTGTATGGAAACACAGAAGACTCCAAATAGCCAATGCAATCTTGAGCAAACTTTATAAGCCAGAGGCATCACAATACCAAGCCTCAGTGCATACTAAGCACTATACTAACTAAAGCATCATGGTGCTGCTACATAGATCAATGGAACAGAAGAGAGATGCTAGAAATAAATCCATGCATCTACAGCCAACTGATTATCAGTGAAGATGCCAAAAACATATATTGGAGAAAGGCAAGCTCTTCCATAGATTCTTATGAGAAAATTGGATTTGCAGAAAATTTAATCTTTTTTTTTAAAGACTTAACTTTGCTTTAACTCTCACTATACAAAAATGACTTCAAAATGGATCAAAGTGGGCAGGAAAAGTGGCGCAGTGTGTTCAGCATCCACTTGGAATGCTCAGTTCTAGTTCCAGCTGCTCTACTTCTGATCCAGTTCTGTGCTAATGAGCATGGGAAGCAGCAGTTGATTGCCCAGGCCATAGCAGCGAACTGGATGGGAAGGGGAGCACCCAGGACAGATGGGATGCCGGCATTGCAGGCGGTGGCTTTACCTGTTACGTCACAGCACCGGCCCCTAAATCATTGTTACACACACACACACACACACACACTCAACTCCAAACACAATCTAATAGTGCTGTCATTCTTGCTTTTGATTTTGTAGCAGCAGTCACTGAATTGGAAATACAGGTTGCAGGATGACAAGCAGTGGTGTAGTATTTCCCAGCATCATTCAGTAAATAGTGTGAACCACCTGCTGGGACTTCTTCATAACTTGTCAAGGAAAGATGTGTGCAGCAAAGAGAATGTGGAGTGCACCGAGTGTGAAATTTGCTCTGTCTTAAAACTGAGCATGAGGATATTTTAGAAAATATGTTGTGAAGAGACTGCTTATCTCTGAGTGAAGACACTGTAGCTGATAACCTCCAGTTGGACACATACATGATCCACACTCTCCAACTTTGAAGCAGAAGAAGGTAAACCTCTCCGTTATTCATTAGGAGCTATGGAGTCTGGTGAGTGCATTGACTTTCTAGTTTTTCTTTATCCAACTATTTCTACTGATAAGGGAGGGGAATTACCTGTTTTCATTTACCTGAGACACGAAGCTCTTGTTCTTTGAGCTGCAACAGAACCACTTTAACAGGGCTTTGGCATTTCTCTTTCTCTATAAACCATGGTCAGCAAACTGCACTGATTAACTACAGCTTCGTAAATTGTCATGCTAACAGTGATGACATCTGCAAGGTTTGATAAAGCACTTAATTTAATAACATTAGTATTGAGAAAATAACGTGGCTAAGTCAGAAATTGTACTTTATGTAATGTAATGATGTGAATCTATATACATGATTTTTAAATTTTATGTCTTTTAACATTTTTCATATTAATTTAAGCCTTAAGTATTTTTTGATACAGTTTTAATTTTAAGTTAGCAGTGAATGTGATATTACAAAATAAGGCTTAGAGCACTGGATTAGATGGGAAAGAAGAGGCAGAATACGCTTTAGTTGAAACTCAGTTTTCCTTTTCTCATGGTATGAACTCAAGTTCCCAATAATGTAGTGTAATTTCACATTTCACTTTCTTCAATGAAGTTTAAAGCAAATGAACCAGACATATTTAAATATAATTTAGATAAACATAATGATATGAAGAGAAAATTAGAGAAATAAAATTACAAAACTGTGCAGTTTTGTAAAAATTGTGTTAATTGGTGCTTTTCTAAATGAAGAGCAATATTTTTAATAGTCATACAA